CTCAGATCTTTTCGCAAATATGAAATTCGGATTCAGCGATAAAAAATACATAGGAATAATATATCAGAAAGTTTCCTCAGAAATTGTCTCTACTTAGCCCCTATATGTGCTCTATTGACTGGACTAAAACTGAACAGAAATAATTATATAGGGTTTCTTGCGGTCTGTAAAACCTGGAAAGTCAGGGTAATCATTAGAAAAGTCAGAGGATTTCGGGAGCAGCGTTCAGCAGAATTCAGCGTAATCATAAGGTAAAAATCTAAGTGGAAGTTTTGTTTGAAGGGCAGGGAAAGTCAGGGAATCAGAAAATGAAGGAATAGTAGAAACCTTTTCATGTAAGCTATGCTTTGCTGCCATCAGAATTGAAGACTGGTAAAGTTAGCCAATGGAATATTCACTGTTTAATATGTTGTTCCAGGAAGGAGCGGTAAACTCTGAATCTGAGCGAGAACAGCGGGAAGCAGAAAAACAAGCTAGAGTAGAAGCGAGTTTACGTGAAAGGCAGAAAGAAGTTGAGCGAACACTAGCTGTCCATCTACGCGATCGGGATAATGAACGAGAACAACACAAGCACGATGAAGCAGTCCAGCACTTCAACGCTCTTCTCGCTGATTTGGTTAGTTCTTTCTTTTTGATGTCTTTATGTGTACCCTTCATCACAAACAGAGGCAAATTAAATTTTCCTCCGTTACAAGCTACAAGGGTTTTTATTGGCGGTCGATTTGCCTATGCTTATTTTACCGTCCTGAAAGACTATGAAGATCACTTTTGCAGCATTGACTTGTACAGAAAATAGAAAAATCTTGTTCAGGGTTTCTGCAAGTCCAGAATTACCGGAAAGTCCGGAAATAGCATGGATTTTTCTCGAGCGGTCTAGAAGTACTGAAAAAGTGCGGAAATTCTGGAAGAAGGTCTGAGATTTATATTATTTGTTGTCATTTTTGTCACAATTTGAGCGAGAAATTCACATTTTTTAAATTTTTCGAATTTTGTCAATTAGAGGTACTGAAAAAGTACGGAATTTTTCGGTGGGGAGGTACTGAATTTCTTGAGAATTTAATGAGAAAGAACTGTAAAAGTACTGATTTTTGGCCAGCCTGATTAAGTAGACACCCTGATGTTGAATCACTGTCGTTAGTGTCACTGCTCTCTCTCATAAATTTCTGTTGAGTTACACTGTTTCCTCTAATTTTTCAATAAGTTGAGATTTTTTACTTGAATGTATTGCCCTTTTGTGGGCTGTTATTTTATGTCAAAGTTCGTCTAGAAGCCCATGTGGCCCTCATATTTCCAAGATTACTCCCCAATTTCTCTAGTTACTGTAAAGTCTTACACTTTACTAACTGCGTGACGTAGCTCAATTTTAAATGGATATCATAACGAGGTATCATCTCATAATTTTCCCTATTTTTCAGGTGAGAAACTCTGAACTCGCTTGGAGAGAGGCCAAAAGACAGTTACGGAAAGATCATCGATGGGATCTGGCTGAACTCCTCAGTAGAGATGAAAAAGAAAAACTGTTTAATGAACACATTGAGTTACTTTCAAAAAAGAAGAAAGAAAAGTTTAGGTAAGTAACAATCAATTTCAAATTAAGTTAGGGTTACCGGTGGTCTGGAAAACCGAGTAAATCAGGGAAAGTTAGAGAATTTGTGGGAAAAGTCAGGGAATTTTTGACACATCTACCTATTGAAGTCTAGGGGCAGTCAGCTTATTTTTTTTTAAAAAAAAAAAAATGGAAATTTTGTTCAACCATCAGGAAAAAAGCAAATTTTGGAGTCAGAGATGGGCAAAAAAAGTTTGGGAAAGTCAAGGAATTTAAAGATGAAGAAATTATGGCGACCCTGTAAGTGCAATTAAAGGAAAAGTGGTCGAGACGTATCACCAATTCATTTATTCCACAAGACATTTACAGCCTTATACTGTACCAATCCTTTATCAGTTAAACCACTTGGAAAGTATCTATCCTGCTAAGAAGTGTTCTTAATTTTTACTTACTTCACCATTTCGTGGGTAGTCTCTTTTAATTTTCTGTGGAAATGAAGATGCTGTAATTATGTACGTAAGTTATTTATGTGAGTGAAAGTAATAAGTTCACATTGAAAAGCTACCGTCTATGAAGTTTAATTTCGTTGTCTGAAGATAATCTTCTAAAATTCATGGCTGTTTAAACTGGAATCATTAATATAAACTTCGAAGGATTCTGCCTTTTTCTATTTCACTCGAGGGGAAGTGTCCCCTCCCGGACTCTCTTCCCCACCCGGTGACTGACGCTGCGCTGTGCTGAACGGTTCAGCCTGAACCTTTCCCCTACGTCTGACCGTTCCCCACTCCTCTGTCAATCGAACTATATGCCACCGCTTACGTATTGTCGCTCGCCCACCCAGGTACCTAACGGCCAGCGGTCAGTTGATGATAAATCTCGCTCATGCTCCTACGCAGCTATACGCATTGATTAAGCCAGCTAATTACTTTCGAATAATTAGAATTTCTTCGATAATAGTTTTCTTTATTTATTCGACTATATTTTTTTCTCTGTTCTACTATGATTTCTTTGGTTCTCTACTGTGTTTTTCCTAAATCTCTTCGGTGTTTTTATTTTATCGTGCTCATGCTCACACGCAGCTGAGCTTAGATTACCGCAAAGAAGTCGTTTTCTTTGTTGTTTTTCTGAATTTTTTTCTCTGTTATACTGAGTTTTTCTTG